TCTTGGAAGGTCATTTTTGCTAGACTCTGTGGTCTTCCGAATAATAACTTAGTAGAGAAGTGCTGTTTAATCTTTTCAAAGTGTATTCTGCCCTGTGTTTCACAAAGCACTGAAACGCACGTGGTGTAGTGAAGAGGCAGCGATCTCAAGGCCTTGAATGTGACCACCCCAAGCAGACTGCCTGTGGGGGAGGGCAGCGGCACTAGAGAGCTTATTTTCTACAATAATAATGATAATAACACAAAGTTTGAACTGATTAGAATGCTCATAAATCATGGTTCTGTTTGTTGCAGGTAACATTTGGCTGAATGCGTATAATCTAAATATAACTTTCTAGTCATTGTGTCTCCACTATCGCCAATTTGTTCCTCCCTTACTTTCCGACAGCTGGGTCTTGTGTGACTTAGACAGTGGACAGCCAGCTAAATGCAGAGCACCACTGTTTGGAATGCATTTGTTTTCAAAGGCTTTGCACTGGAGAAATATGTAGGGGGTTTTTTTGTTTGTTTGTTTTACTTGTTTTTAAGGATGTAGATTGTCATTTAGGAAATAGCCTTTATTTTTCCAAAAGGTATGATCAATACTCTACATATGAAAAGTATGTGTATTTGGCTTGAGTATCTGTGTTCTGGTGCCTGAAGAACAAAGGGGAGCTGAATGGTGTGACAGCCCATTCATGGTCACTAATCCATGTCCTCAGTGTCATTCTACATGAAGAAAACAGTTTTATCTGAGTGCTTTAATATAATGCAATATTTACTATTTAACATCTTAATGAAGGTAAAAAGTTATTGAAGCTTGGATTCTTATCTCAAAAATTTAAAAATCAAAAAATCAAAAACAGAATCTCACAAACATTCCCGAAGTATGTAGACTGAGGAATCACTTGGTTCCAGCCAAGCTCTGAGCCTGAGTGATGCTTAGCAAGAGCTTGGCGGAGCCCCACACCTGGCTGACAAGAAAGCGCGGCGATCACCCGAGCCAGCCAGAAGAGACTCCAGTGCTACTAGCCAGTAAGTTTCAGCCTTGGACTCCATGTTGTTTATCTTTTCCACGAGGAATGATATCATGGAAATGAATGAATGCTTCTTGAGCATGCAGATCAAAACTCAAATTTTCTAGAGTTTGGGGAAAAGGGAAAAACAAGTGGGGCAAGGCCAAAGCACACACTGGAAACTAAAAGTACAGACAAGCAACAGAAGGTCAGTGAGGCCTCACAGGAAACGCTTCCTGCGAAGGACAAACCTACCTGCCCTCCAAAAGTAGGGAGTAAACTGACTGTGGCCAAGTTGCTGACTTGTGTTTATTTGTTATTATGATGAGCAGGAAGTGAGTCAGCTGTTTTTCTTTATTAGCAATAATTTAACAGAAGCCTAGTTCTGTGAGAACTAGGAGGTGGGAAAAAGCATCCCTTTTACTAACTCAGCTCCTGCTAGTGTGCTGTCTTAGGGCCCCGTGGGCACGCAGGAGCTGCAGCAGCAGAAATAAGAAGGAATAAAATACAGATTGTAAAATAAGACCTCTGAGAAAAAGTTTAAAAAATTGACATCCTTTTACTCTGAGGAGGAAAAAGCTGTTGACGTGGTTTATTAAGTTTTAAGTTATTGGGACTTTGATTAAAGGATTCAAAGTAAGAAGTAATGTGATTAGTTGTTCTCCATCTCCTGTGAGGACAGAACAAGAGGGAATAAGGATCTGTTTAGTCATTGTTTTAAAAGGCAGTGTGAAACGTTTGAGATTAAGAACTTCTTAGGCAGGAATTGTCATGAAGTCTTCTATTTGAAATCTTTATTCTTAAGAAAATAAAGAATTTAAATATTAAGGGAAACACTAAATGGCTTTTTAAGGTTCCATGCAACACTTTAAAGACTCATGTTAAGAAAGATATCATAAAGAGTACTGAGTGTAACATTTGAGTTTTGCTCCGTATCTAGAAGAATTTAGTTCACAAAATAGCTTTTGTCTATTTTGTGTAATAGACGCATGAGTGTGATGATCAAAGACCTGCTTGGATGTTATTTCTAATTTAACCTGCAAATTAATTGAGACCTGAACACAATTTTGTTCACCTTGAAGAATGTATAGCATTATAAAACATCTGAGAATTTTGTTTTAAAGTACTGTTATTTGGATGTAGTGGCATTGTTATGGAAATGACAGGCCAGCCAAGAAACAAGCACCACTGGGGGTGGGGGGGAGGCGGTTGGAGTACTCAGATTTATTAGGCGGGCTCAGAGGGGCTTCTGCTCCAAGGCTCTGAGCACCTCCAAAATGTGTGCATGAGGTTTTATAGGGTTAATTGCAAGCTTGGGGTATTCAGCCAATAGGCACGGAACAGCTTTAGCAGCATCATTATCACAAAAGCAGAGGCAGGGAGGTAGCAAACTGACATTCCAAGGCCAGATATGTCTCTCTGAAAATCCAGCTGGCTAACAAAAAAAAAAAAAAAAAATGAGCAGAGAATCAGCAAACCAGCACTTATTAACTTAGGTTTACGAGTTAGCCCAGCAGAACTCAGATCAGTGATCTGACTGACACTTGTTACACTTGGATTTACCAGTAGGCCCAGCCTGGCTTTTCCTTCACAACATCAGCAAACAGGTTCCAAGAGACTGAAAATTGTGGAGTATTTTATATAGGAAATAGCCCTCCTTTTTCTTAAGCAGGTTGCTTCTGGAATTAGTGCAGCAGAGGCATGAGCTGCAGTTCAGTGGAGAAGTTGTTCTATGAACTGCTGTTGGTATTTCTTTCTGCTTTCCACTGATGTCTGTGATGCTTGAAAAATCCAAAGTCTGCTCAGATACATTTATTTCATGCTTCTTTCTTTCTGCCTACCTCTTTTCCCCTAGGTGTCCTTCCGCATTTTGTTACTATCAAGTTACTGCCCTGTTACACCGCCGATAAGAAATCTGAAATGTGTTCTTTCAGAATGCTGTAAACTTAGTCATAACTACATTTGTTTATGGAAAAAACTCCACAAGTGAAATATTACCACACACCTACCAGAATGACTAAAAGTAGACTGACCATGCCAGGTGCTGGTGAGGGACTAGAGGCCTGGAACTCTCATACACTGTGGGTGGGAGTGTGAAAAGTTTCAACCATTTTGAAAAACACTTTGGCAGCTTTTAAAAATACTAAACGTACACCTATCATATGACCCAGCCATTCCACAATAGTTATTCGGCTAAGAGATATGAATGCATATATCCATACAAAGCCTTGTATATGAATGCTCATAGCTGCTTTATTTGTAACATAACCAAACATCAACAGTGAATAGAAAAATAGTGGTATAGCCGTATGATGAAATACTCAGCAATAAAAATAAACTAACTGCTGAACACACTTCCATATAGATGAATCTCAAAATGATTATGCTCAGTGAAGGAAGCTAGACTTAAAAAAAAAGTACTTGATGTGTGATTCCTTTAATTTAAAATTTTTAAAAATGCAAACTTCATGGTGAGAGAAAGCAGATCAGAGGTTGCCTTGGGCGGAGGGGCGGGGACTACAAAGTGCCACAAGGAGCTTTTGGGAGTGGTGGGTATGTTCACCATGTTGATTGCACTGAGGGTTTGGGGATGTGCCCTCCTATACAAGCCAGCCATTCTGCTTCTGCAGTCCAATGCTCTACCACTGAGCTATACCCCCTCTTCCACTTCTGAATACTTACCCCATAAGAACATGTCCCTACAAAGGCTCATCTGTAGTGACCAGAGCAGGTTACTGATGATTCTTTGCCAGGAATGCAGTTTCTGCAGAAAACCCCAACAAGCTAACTTCTATTTCTTGATGAGTTTTCTACACAGTGAAAATTAACTACCTGTATCTTTTTCCACTTCCATTTAAAATTTACAGCGATATTCATTGGAATCAGTTTTTCCTTGCAAATATGATAAGATTTTGCACAATTAAACCTCCACCCCGTAAGTCTCATTACTGTGTATCTGATATTCCTGACACCATGCTCTTGTCAGAGTTTTACCGTGTGCAGGTTTAGCCTCTGTTAAATGATTTTCTGTTATCTTTCCTAGCAATATGATTCATATGAATTCTTTTCTTGAATATTTAACATTTGCCTACTGATCCCACAAGGAAAGAGTGAGCCTGTCCCTCAGATGCCTGGAGGCACTCTGGCCTTAGTCCGACCTACAGCTTTTCCCTTCCCGCCCTGTGCCTCCTGCCCCAGTGTGACAGGACCTGTGAGCCATCTTCAGGGTTAGAGCATCCACGCGACATGAAGGCAGACCAGAGCGTCTCGCTTCACTTGTAAACTGCTGCATGCGTAATTTTTCAGTGAAAACTAGAACACTTGTGAGATTGGTAAGGCCCGAAGAGTCTGATTAGAACCAGTCGGCTTAGACTTGGGGAAATGGACACATCCAGGGAAAGCAGCTTTGGGAAACTAGACATCCCCTCCTGGGAAGGAAATGGGACCCACGGCTCATAACTGTCCCTGCTGTCTGTGTGTGCTAATACGGAGACATCTGTGTGCTAAATGAAAAAATGCCGTCACAGAGCAACACGAGTCGTGAAGAAATGAGGGGCTAGATTTTGAACCTGCTTGTGCGTGGGAAGCTTGCAGAAGGCGCACAAGAGCCCACCGCTGCCTCTGCAGGCTCCACATAGTCTATGGCCTCCCAGTGGACCAGTCCTTGAGCAGAGGCCCTGTCTCTCCAGGAAGGAGACCCAAGTGTCAGCCCCAGACTACAGGCCCAGAGCAAAATGTTCCACCTCAAGGAGAAAAGAAACACACTAAGGACAGATCCCGCTCGTGGGCCTGTCTCTTCCTGCTACCAGGAGAATGTGGCCTCCAGGAGACTTGGACTTACGCCCCTTCATTTCCAGGCAGCTCCCCTCACAGGAGCTGTGAGGCCCATTGGTTTAGTGCAGAGACACTAATTATGACACAGCCCCAGATCACCACAAAAACCACAACTGACATTAATTCCAACTTGTTGGAGGGTGCATGGAGGGAGGGCAGACTGTGGGGGAAGGTTTGGATTGAGCTGGGGAGGGTAGACAGGGAGAAGTCAGAAAGCATCTCTTTACGTGTATATACTCATTTATTGCATCTTTTCTTCCCCAGGCTTGAGGGGTCCGCTAGGTCCATTGGGAATGGTGTCAGATCAGGAGGAGGCAGGCAGTTCTGGGAGGTCTGTGATCTCCATTTCAGAATAACCCTTTTCATTAAGAAAAGTCTTCTCCTTCAAGACTTCTATGAGTTGCTGTAGTCGCTTGGCAAAAGAAAGTGCTTGGGGAGGTTTAGTGGGAGGCTGGGGTCGGGGTGGGGGTGGCAGTGAGGGTGGCCGTGGGGGTCGGTACACGGCTGGAGGTTGGGGCTGGGGTTGCTTGAAGGGAGGTGGTCGAGGAAGCTGTTGGAAGTACCAGGGTGGGTGACCAGAAACCTGAGCAGAAGCAGGTCTAGCTGGAGGTGCCTGGGAAGTAGGAGGGGGCGGAGTGCCTGGCTGAACCATGTACAAGGCGCTGGAACCAATCTTGGACGCGATCCAGTTCAGGTAGGCCCAGGTGGACGTGTAGACTCCAGGGCGCTTGGCTCGAGCGCAGCCTACCCCCCAGCTTGTGATTCCCACGACCACATAGGCGCTTCCCGTGTTGTCTCTGCACAAGAGAGGCCCGCCGCTGTCCCCCTGCCCAGAAGGAAACAGAAGTCACTCTCGGCCCAAGCCACTTCCCCTGCCCAGAAGGGCCACAGAGTCTAGGAGGACACTTGCTGGAGCCGTGTGGCTTCCTGCTGCCATGAACACAGTGGTGGTGCTGAAGTCTTAGCTGGTACCAGCAGCTTCAGTTGGGATGTGAGGAGTGTGTGGCCTGTCATGGGTTTCCTTGCAGTGAGGAAGGGAGATGAGCAAACCTGTGTGTCCATACGTGGGGCTTTACATGCTTACATGAGTGTGTGTGTGCAGTGGACCTGGCTGTTTTGCTTTCCGGTGAAGAGAGACAAACATTCTCTTCAGGGGCAGTGTTTGCGGCATGTGATCTCTGTGTTAGGGTGCGATACAGTTCTGAGTGTGGTGCCTGATTCTTCGTCGGGGCAGCTGGTGGGTGTCACTTCCCATCCTCAGTGTGACTGTAGATGCTGGAAGGTGGGACCAGGGAAATTTGCTCAGGGATCCAAAAAAGAGTCGTCCGCAGTGGCCTGGGCACACGGAGGAAAGTTACCTGGCAGGTGTCAATCTTGCCTTCAGGGTACCCCGCGCACACATTGGTCGAATGAACGCGCCCATTGTACCACTGGGTCGAGTTACACAAGTCAAGGTCGATGAGGTTCACACGGGCCTCCTGCAGTATAGGTGATGTCCTGGCGGCTACAGCCAGGCGATTGAGAGGTCAGTGATCATGGAAGACGTGTTCTGGTAAAGCCCTGCCTTCCTCTCTCCACTGAACCCCTACCATCCACTAACGCTCTGCTTAAACATGAGATCCATGAAAGTCAACGCCCCCGGCCTCTCCTTAGAATGCTCCTGGAGGGAAGGACATGCACGGCTGGAAGAGCAGAGGGGGGAGATGGGAGTTGGAGTGGAGGAGTGCTAGCAGGTGCATGGGGAGAGGAAACAGGAGAAGGAAGAGTGGAAGGATGCGCACGGTGAACAGAGGGCAGACGGAGGCTGGGTGGGTGCGGCTGAAGAGTCACGTTAACGTGGATGGGGGCTTTAGAAGACCAGCTGCGATGTGAGGAAACTCCAGTCAGCACTGTGATGGGGACTGAGAGGGGCTGGGCCAGGAGTGACCCCTTCGCCTCAGAGACCACCAAGCGGAGGATCAGCAGTTCTCCCCCGGGAGCCCTGGCCCCTACTCACCGTTCTCTTTTAGGTATCCCCAGCCAGTCACCCAGCACATCTGGGGAACTCTGGGTGGGCCTGCCCTAAACTGGGGCAGGCAGCCTGGTCCGATGAACGGTCCACATGGAACAGGGGGGGTGATCTTTATGAGAGCGATGTCATTTTCCTCTGAGCCAGGGGAGTATTTCTCATGAATGATGATCCTCTCAGCAGATCTCTCCTGCAGGGGCGGCTTCACGGGCTTGTTGTTTCCCCACACAATTTCCTTTGCTCCAAAGATCAGTCTCCAGTCAGCAACTTTCCTGTGAGCGCAGAGGCCAGCCAGGTCACTCTCACTGTGGCCTGGCTGGACAGGAACCTCTGATGAATGGGACCCGCAGACCCCCCCCACCGGTCCCACCCCAGCAAGGTCTGGCTCAACCACTCGGTCTTCTTGTCCACAGCCCCAGGGACACTCTGCACAGAGACCTCTGGAGAACGTCCCTTTCTGAGAAGAGCCTTTCTGAAGACTCCCCTCCGCGTGTCCCCCACGTACCTTTTGTTCCTGAAGCAGTGCGCCGCAGTAAGCACCCAGTGGGAGCTCAGCAAGGTGCCCCCGCACCTGTGGTACCTTCGGCTGTCGACATATGAGAAGGCCTGGAGGCTGACCATCCAGGGCCAGGACCCGAGTGCCGCAGGACGCCCTCCGATGATGCGCATGCCCCCTTGCGGGCTCTGCCTGAATCGTAACCCACAGGGGCCGCTGAGGGGAGACCAGGGGCACAGCTCAAGCCAAGAAAGGCACAGCTTGTCCTGGCACCTCCACAGCAGGGCCACAGTGGGGATGGGGCTGGCAGAGGTAGGGAAGAGCTGGGGGGCCTTGGGTCAGCCTCATGGGGTGGTGCCATGCGGGTTTGATGAGACAAGAAGCCACAGCCTCCAGGGAATGATTCTGAGGGGTGAGATTTCTGGGGTCTCGTGAGTGTGATTACAAGGTGGGCAGAGCTGGGGCCATAGGCAGCTAGTACAGGTAAGGGCCTAGACGTATGGGAGATCCTTGGGCAGAGGGGAGGCCAAAGGTGGGAGTGGACGGAGGTTATCTTGGGTGGGACACTCAGGGACGAGCCCCGGGGTCTTGGGGCTGCAGGGCTGGGGTGGACAGTGATGGAAGGAGAGCAGCCATAGGCAGATAAAGCGACCCCAGGGGAGGGGGCACACTGGGAGCAGTGGTGATCCAGAGGAGGGCGGTCTGGGTGCTGTGCTGCTGGTGAGAGACCACAGTCGTCTGGGAGTCATGGGGTACCTGGGGGCTCTGGGAGTCTACACCTGGCGTGGAGGTCCTGGAGGTATCGCATGACGACACCTGGGGCATTCTGGGTCAGCTGCAGGGTGGGGCACCTTATTATCTGCCGGAGGGCCGGGGCTCCTGAGAATCGAGACTTGATACCATGAGGCCATGCAGGCAGTCACTGGGCGGGGAAGATGTGCGGGTCTCTGTGCTGCGGGAGCCCGGGGTCTGCCTCAGGAGGAAACGGGGCGTCTGGGGCCCGGGGGGCTCTGGGCTGATGATGTTGGAAGCAGGGAGGGTCTGACTTGGGGGTGTGGGTCACAGGCGCTGTGAAATGTGAGGGAACGCTTAGGCCCCACTGTGGCTTCCACCCTGGCCCTGCGCTGAGGGAGTCTGCTACTCAGAAGACACCCCACCCCACAGAGGTGTCCCTGATACTTACTCACAGGTGTTGTTGTCTGTGGCGACCACAGACGCAGCCAAGACCAGCAGAACGGCAGTTGGCAGCATCTCTACCAGACTCCTGCCCCAGCCTGGCCTAGAAGCCCAGTGACCTCACAGAGCCCCATGGCCTCCTGACCAATCAGCAAAGTGACCTCCCAACCCCCACCTTCCAGCAATCACATCAGTTAGGGCCCCGTTAGTTCAACCAGTTCACGCTGAAGTGACTTCTCAACTTCCTGCATAGGCGCCCACAACCCGTGCGGCCAGACGGGCTCTCCTGCAGTCCCCTCCCTCTGTCCCAAGGCCAGGACCTTCAATGCCAGCTACCTTCCAAGGTCCCACATCATCTGAGGTTCCAGCTTTGTGCAGGTCAGGGTCTGGCCCTCACACAAGCTGTAACTACAGTCTCATTCCAGTTTACAGACTGAGGGGCAGCTCAGCCCCTCGGCAGCAAGATGGTGCAATAAGTCAGCAGTTAAAGGGAGTCAAGCTATCCAAGTGGATAGACCCTTAACACTGTGAGGGACAAACTGTCCTTCCTTCTTCCAAGTGTGTGCTGTCTGCATCCTTTCCAAGGAGCCATTTTGAACCTCCCTAACTTAGGACTACGAAGTCCACCCTCTGTCCACTGCTGAGTATCACGAGGTCTCACATCTTCCACCAGAAGGTCCCGGGTCTCCTCTCTGGGACCTACGTGCAGCAGGGTGGTGTCTCCTGTACCTGAGTGTCGGGAATTCTCGGCACAGTTCTGTGAGTATCATAAAGTACTGTTTCTTCTGACTGGCAGGAGACAGCATCTCACCGCCCAGAGTAGATAAATGCTCACCGCACATACCTGGACGTTAAAACGCTGGACCTCCCCTGCAAGAGTGTGAGGAGGTCGCACCCCCACCTGCTGGGGGCTCATCTTAGCTCCTGTACATGAGGGGGAGGTCTCGGCTTACCCATGGGGGTGTCCTGAGCCCACCTACAGGAGTGTCACGGGTCCCCCTCCCACCAGAGTGTTAGGACACCTCCTGTCCTCCCTCCGGGTGTCACGAGTTTTCAGGTTGCCACATGGCCTTGCTCCCTCTCCCTGAGCATCTTCTCTAAGTGTCTGTCCTGTTCTCTCAGCCCATGTAACTTTCAGGAGGTCCCTTCCCCCTCAGCTGAATATCCAGTAGGTCTCGTACACCTCACCTGGTTATCAGGGAGCTAGCATCTCCTCTCCCTGAATGTGAGCGATGTCTCTTTCCTTCTGTCTCAGGGCCAAAGGCCTCATCTCCACCACCTGAGTGTCACTTTGTCCCATCTTTTCTACCTGAGAACCAAGAGGTTTCATATCCTTCACCTGAGTGCCAAGAGGTTGCACCTTGCCTGTGTGAGCACTCTGAGGTTTCGACCACCGCGCTGGAGTGTCAGGAATTCTTATATCCCCCACCCACTGCCATGGAGTCTCCCATCCCCTGCTTGAGCGTACCCTGGTCTCCCTACCTGCACGCCATGTACGTCCATCTTCTCTACCTGAGTGTCGTGAGGTGTCCTCTACTCTACATAAGTGTCCCAGCTCCTTGACTGTTGAAGGTTTTCTCCTTCCTGGGTGTCTTGAGGTCTCACCGTCCCCAGCTGAGAGTTGTGAAATCTCATCTCTTCCTCTGACTGCAAGGCAGTCTTACATGTCCTGAGTGTCTCCACGGTATCCCTCCCACCAGCGTGTCAGGAGGTCTCGTCTCTACCTGACGGGCCTCACATCTCCTGCTCTGTGTCTGGAGGCTCCACCTCTTCTCTCCAAGTGACTGGGGGCCTCCTCTCCCCGACATCAGTGAAGGCGTGCCTCCTCTCCCGCAGCTGAGCGTCATGAGGCCGCATCTTCCCCGAGTGTCTGATGTTTCCGTCTCCTCCACCTGTTGGTCAGGACGTCTCATTTCCTCTCCAGTGTCCAGAGACGTCCTCTCGTAACTGACTGTCAGGAAGCTCTCTTTTTCTCTGCATGACGGCCCCCAAGTCTACTCTCAGCGCAGGTCTGAAGGGCCTTCCCTATTACTGAGCCAGGACATCTCGCCTTTATTCACCAGGGAGTGACAAGGCCTCACTCCCCCAGGGAGCGGCAGGATGATCTCACCTCCTTACTTGAGTCCAGTGCTCATTAGTGCCCTTCCTGCCAAACAGGAGGGCTTGTTTCCCTTGTGTTATTGCAGTCAGACCTCAAGAATATCAACTATTTGAGTGTCACGAGAGTCTTACCTCTGCTACTGCGTGTTAGGAGGCCCCTCTCTCCTCCACCTGACAGCAAGGAGGACCCGCCCCCCCCATGTCAGTTTCAGGGCTCTGGGGTACTTTTATCTGCTAGGGTCTCTCATTTCCCACACCTCAGTGTCACAGGGCTTGTTTCTTCTATTTGAGTTTCTGGAGGATTCTTCCCCCCACTTAAACGTCCAAGGTGTGTGTACGTGTCCCTCTCTCTCTTTTACTTTCATCTCAGGTGGCCTCACCTCCTCTGAGGGTCACAGGGTCCTATTTCACCAACCTGAGGCCTTGTTTATTTCAACTGAGTGTCAGATTGTGCCTGATAAAGTAACCAAAAAAGACTCTGGAGATATAGTTCGAGAAATGACAGCAAGAATTCCAGAAGTGATATTAAAGTTTTGTTAAAGGAAAGATTATTCAAGTGTTTTTATGGGACTTCGATGGGCATAAAGTTGATATGGTATTTAGGTCCTTGAGAACCGTGTAATAGAATGATGTAACCATTTATTTTAAATATTTATATGTTTAGTTTTCTGGAAATCACAACCTTCGTAAGTAATTAAACATAGGATGAAGATGTTAGACATAAACTTCAAAATGAAAAGTGGTACCTAGCTTTTCAAAACACTTATGGGTTCTGCAAGAGCAAAGGTCAAAGACTCACGGTGCCTAGATTGTAGAAGACAATTACTGTTTGACTCTGCACAGTAGCACCCACTTCTGACTGTAGAAGGGATGACAGTACCTGCTCCCAGACACAGTCACGGGTTGAAGCTTAGGCACAAGACCAGCAGGTTCAATTTTGTCACCAAACCTAGTGGAAGCAACAAACACCTCAACTAAGAGTGACTTTGTTTGCCTTCTCCATGCTGTTCCCAAGCGCAAAGGAGGGAGTTGGGAAGGTACAGGACAGTTAGGGTTCCAGGGCCAGAGGAGGGGGTCTCAGTGGCTGCTGGGGGCTTGGCTCAGGCCAAGGTGGGGCTCCCAGTACAGGGAGCAGGACCGTGGGCCCCTCTCCTTCTCCAAATGAGACTCCTCCTCCCTGTTCTCTAGTCCACTACTTCCCTCCCCCTGCTCCTGCTGACTTCTGGATCCCCCACCTATTCACCTGAGCAGGCCAACCCCCACTCCATCCCTAAGCCCTGCCCGCTCCCACCTGTCTGTCTCTCACTTCTCCCCTTCCTGCTCACTCCCACCCGGCCCTGCTGTTCTCGGGCATAGCTCTCTGCAGGGCAGAAACCTCGTTGTCCATCCAGCCTTAATGACCAGGCCCCACCCCAGAGTCTCCCACAAGACCGTGGGCACAGCTGGTGGTAAGGGAGAGCTGGAGCCACAGCCTTTGCTCCAGGTTCCAGAGAGAGGATTGTTGAGTTGCTTAGGGCCCCTAGAGGGTAAAGCTGGAACACTGTGTGGTCATGGTGAGGCCAGAACGGGGAAGGGAGTCCCTAGCCGCATGTGAGGAAGTGTCTGCCCTGGGGTATCTGGAGGCTCATCCCACTCAGTCCCTCAGCCATCTCTCCACTGTCTCTGGTGGGCATCTCTGGCCCACCTTGAGTGTTCCAGTCATCTTCTGAGACATGGGGGTGGCTTCTGACTTGGGGTGGGGATATGGTCTTCTTCCCCAGATCCCTGGGGGCCGAGATGGCACTTCCACGGACAGCTGGCCCCCTGCCCGTGCTCTTCCTCTCCTCCGTTGAAAAGCTGGACTTGCCCCAAGCTCCAGACCCAGTCCCAGGGAGACCCAGGATTCCACGTGCAGCTCAGAGGGGCCAACCCCCAAGTTGCCACCATGCTCCACCTTTGCCCCCACACTTGGATCCTCCTCATTCCTCGACTTCCTTCTTGGTCTCTCCTGTATGACGACCACAGATTCTAACTTGAAAATACAACAACAAAAAAATATATATGTTGAAAATTTGAAATTGTGGGCTTTCTGCACAGGCGGCAAGCCTCTCTGAAGGTCCCACTGCCAGGCACTCACCATCCCAGCCTCACAAGGGCCTTTGCCTTCCTTAGCAGGCCATCCAAGCCTTCATCTGCTCCTCAGAGCTCCTCTGGGCAAAGACACCTGAATCCATCCCTCTTCTGCCCACAAGGCTTCATTCCATCAACGATTCTTACTCTCTTACACTTTCCTGGAGGCATTGCCCAGCCCCACCCTGACCCGGTGATGACCTGAATCGAGGTCTACATCTGTCATGTGTCACATCACACTCCACCCTGGCCCAGCATGGCAGGCTCTGCACCCACTGCCCCTCCCCAAGCCCCACTGGTCTGAGGTCACATCCCTGCAGCCCTGGCCCTCTCTCAGTCCTGGGCCCTGCAGTCTCCACACTCCCATGGCTCCCTCTGGGTCTCCTTTGCTCGTTCATGGGAAAGTGTCCATCCACTCGCCTCACTGTTCCTCCTCCTTTCACTCACTGAGGTGCTCTGCCTTTCCTATGAGCCAGCCACCCTCTACCAGGTACCACACAGGACTTGCCACATCATTGCTGGTGGAAGCTGGCTCGGAGGGAGAAGGCCTAAACATGGGCAGACACTGTGGGGGCAGAACAGCAGGGACAGACGTGAAAGGGTTCAAAGACAGGAGCAGCAGAATTTAGAAGTATCTGGACACTGGTGGAGAAGGGGACGGGGCCATGGAGGACAGCCGGACTTCTAGCTCAGGAAGGGTCACTCACTGAGCTGTTGAGTAGAGAGAAAAGCTTCCAGCTCAGGAAGTACAGACTCAAGTGCAGCAGGACTCGGAGATGCAGAAAGAAGTCAGACACACGGGCGTGGAGGTCAGCAAAGAGACTGAGTCGGAGACGGGGCACTGAGGTCAGCACCGCACCGCTGAGGGCTCACTCAAGGCTGGGGAGGCTCGTGAGACCTGGCCAAGGGGCGGCAGAGTTTGTGCTCCCGGTACCTCCCCGAGCAGGCAACTGAGACGTGACTTCATTTCTTATAAATTTATTACATAATAATATTATAATAATTATCAATAATAATAATATAAGAAACATAGATCTCTGTGGGGTGTATCACAACGTCAGGGTCAGGAGGCCTCAGGACTGGAGCAGGGGTGAAATCCCCCAGATGGAACTCCATACAAAAGGAGGGGTGAAGCGGAACTGACCCTGTAAAGTTAAAAACCCAAATTGAACGGAACCAAAAACCCACAGGTGAGTGTGAGACAAGTGTGTATGTGGCAGTCTGTTACAGTGACTGCTGCTGTGTGTGACCTGGTCTGTTGGTGGAAGGGTTACTGGGTGTGACTCTGCCCAGGGAATGGGGCCGGTGGGCTGGGGTGGGGCAGGTGGGCACAGACCGGTGTGCCAGGCCCCTGGGCTGTGAAAACTTCTGTTTTCTGGATTTTTTTTCTTTTTATTAAAAAAAGCTAGAAATATAAACAGAAACTTGTGAGTGATGTGGATGGAGCTTAGTCCAGACTCCAAAACCTAGGTTTAAAAACGTCCCAGGGCCCCCTACCCCACAGGTCATTGCTGAGTGTGAGGAGTCACAGTAAAGGGGGCTAGGGTGCCCTCTGGGGTCTTTGCCTCTCCCCCAGGGCTTGCGGTGGCCTGACTCTAGGGGGCCCCTATGATCCCCTCAGAAGCCCGATGGGGGGGCACTACCTCCAAGGGCCCTTGGTGGCCTCCCCAAGCAGCAGGGCTTCACCAAGAAGGCCTGCTCAGGTTAGGCGAGGCTCCGGAAGGACAGGCTGGGCAAACAGCAGGTCCCAGAGTACGAGACGACCTCTGACTTTCTTTGGAAGTGGAAACGGGGCGCTTTCACAGGCACACACCCATGCACGCACCCTGTGCACGCTTCTGAAGCCCCTACACTAGTCCAGAGCGGCCCCTTGGGACCACTCTCTAGTCAGGCACACACGGGGCTCCGACACACTCAGTCGCACCCCGAGTTTCACACACTCGCACATGTGCGCACACACGCAGGGTGGAACTGGAGACTTCAGGGTCTGAGACGGGGAGGCCCCTCTGCTGTAGTTGCCCAACAGAGTGGGGAGGAGGCGAGACACCTTCTGGGGAGGGACCCTGTGAGGGAGATAGCTGGAGGCGGGTGCTAGGGTCCTGCCCCCCCCACCCCACCCCCCACAGCCCAGGGCAATGGTCTCCCAGGCCAGCTGACCTTGCTAGGGCCCAACAGGACTGGCTGCCCGCCGCCCCTCCTCCGTGCAGCACCTGAAGGGTCGGTGGGGCACGCTGTACCTCAGCGAGGGGAGGGTGCCCAGCTGGGGCCCCAGGGCGGGTTACTAGGACCCTGGCCAACCCCAGACCAGCTGGAGCGTCCCCCGCCCCACGTGGGGTGGCAGTGGCAGTTGAGGGGCCAGAGATGGAAGACTGGGCAGCCGCAGCGGAACCAGTGGGGGCTGGAGGGGAGGGAAAGGGAAGCTATTAAGGACAGAGATATTTGTTCCTTTTCTCGTTCCAAATATAGAGTGGATTAAAATATGCAAAACAGAGGGGCTCCTTGGCCCCTAACCGAGAACCCCCAATGTCTCCCCCCTCCCCCCGAGTCACCAAGGTGTATCCTGACCTCGCATGCTGGACTAGGTTCCCCCCTCTGGGAAAGTAGCCACCAGGAGCTGTGCGGGAGATGATCAGGCCGGAGCACCCTGCCCCCAACCCCCTCCCGCTCCAGCCTCCCTGGCCCACGCCCTTCCTGACCGAGTGCTGGGTGGGGCTCGCCGGCCTAGGAGGGCACTAAGCAATGTACAGGGCAAGTCTCCGAGCAACAGCAAACAGGACGATTCATGCAACATTCCTGGCCCGGGCGCCGTTGGGGTAGGTAGGGGGCGAGCCGAGCCCGCGGCCCGGGGGTAGAAGTGGGGGGCCCTGCCCGCAGGGCGCGGCCGGGAAGTGGGTGAGGGTGGGGCGTCAGCTGCCGTCCAGCTGCCTGAGCGCGCGCTCGATGTTCATGCGGTGGCCCACGCGCGTGACGCCCAGCTCCACGAAGTCGTCCTTGGTGAGCGCCGGCAGATGCGCGC